AGTTTGTGCTTCCTTAGACAAAGAACGTACAAATAAAGATCTGAGAAGTTTTTTTTCAAACAGCTATGAATTTTTATGATTTTTACTGTGTAAATTTGTAAATTATTATTGATCTTGCATGACGGTTGATTCGTAATTTGTCGAGACCGGAAATCATTTTACGCAGTTCAACCCCTGACATTTTAATTCATTTTGAGTTCACGCGTATTGGGCGTGTTTGTCGGCGGGAAAATCTTAATTCAAATGATTTCTCACTGTCGATTTTTATTATTTCTGGTTTATTTGTCGCATTATAAGCAGTACATTATTTTTGTTTTACTTCTAGTGTTGCATATTGTTCATTTATTTTCGTTGCATGTTTTCATTTGCCCACTGTCCCCGTGATAGAGGGACTGATTTGCCGTTCTATTCCCTGCCGCAGTTCGATCTGCGTGTTGTAAATTTTTGCGAATTTTCGTTTTTTTTTTCGGGGATCTCCTGGCAAACGCCCACCCCTTCTTTTTGGCAATTTTCCATGTTCAGGACCCTGGGCTTATACCCGGATAAATACGGTACTACAAATGTACCATGGGTGTTCATTTCATTATGATTAATTCAATTCTTTCATTTTGATGTATATTTTTGTTATTTTTTGGTAAATAGTGATATTATACTAGTGATACATACTAGTAGGTGTCTCAGGTAAACTATTATCAGATTTGTTTATTTGGTACTGATATCTTTAATTCAATAATTTTGATGAATATTTTTTGTCATTCTTGGTAAAAAGTGATATTTTCGACTTGTTTTTGAAAACGGCAAATTTAATTGCTTCGTTATTGCACATATAAAACCCTCAGTTGGTTCACACTCAGATTTGTTCATTTTGTGAAGATATCTTCAACTAAATTTTTTAATTTTGACAAATATTTTTGTAATTTTTGGTAGATGGCCTCATCTCAAAAATCGCAGATTTATGTTCACCAAAGGATATTATTATAAATATCTCTTTTGACGTACATCAAATCTAGGCCTTCTATTCACATAGTACTTCTTTTATATACAGTATATATAGATTGCTTGCAAAATGTGCATCAATAATAGCAGGCAGCTTGTTTATCATAATGATTTATCATAATGATTCAGCATTGAATAAATAAGTTTTGATTCATATGTGTGCTTTAATTGGAGATGCATTTTTAACAGCAAATATGGTACATCCATTGTATGTATTCTTATACAAGCATTTAGAATTAACTGGGGATTATTCCCATACT